TTGGTCTGTCTACTTCCCTACACAAACAATATTCTAACTTGTATATATAACACACAATGATTAGTAAGGACAATGACATATGAAATATTTTAATACATGTTTTGACAGAACATTGGTCTGTCTACTTCCCTACACAAACAATATTCTAACTTGTATATATAACACACAACGATTAGTAAGGACGATGAAATATGAAATATTTTAATACATGTTTTGACAGAACATTGGTCTGTCTACTTCCCTACACAAACACTATTCTAACTTGTAAATATAACACACAACGATCAGTAAGGACGATAAAATATGAAATATTTTAATACATGTTTTGACAGAACATTGGTCTGTCTACTTCCCTACACAAACACTATTCTAACTTGTAAATATAACACACAACGATCAGTAAGAAGGATGAAATATGAAATTGTTAATGTTCAATACCCAAGTCCTTTCATTGTTAATGTTCAAAACCTAAGTCAACCAGCAAATCCTTTCATTGTTAATGTTCAATACCCAAGTAAACCAGCAAGTCCTTTCATTGTTAATGTTCAATACCTAAGTAAACCAGCAAGTCCTTTCATTGTTAATGTTCAATACCCAAGTAAACCAGCAATTCCTTTCATTGTTAATGTTCAATACCCAAGTAAATCAGCAAGTCCTTTCATTGTTAATGTTCAATACCTAATCAAGCAGCAAATCCTTTCATTATTAATGTTCAATACCTAAGTAAATCAGCAAGTCCTTTCATTGTTAATGTTCAATACCTAATCAAGCAGCAAATCCTTTCATTGTTAATGTTCAATACCTAAGTAAACCAGCAAATCCAAGAGTTGTTTTAGTTAGAATGCGATTCCAAACCAGAACTAACACTCACTCCATCAAACCACGTGTAGTTAGGTTAGTTCCATTATTTTTGGATCTGAGGAACCAGTGATGTTCATTACTTTAAATTTACAATATTTTAGAAATATTTTCATAGAGAGCAAACAAAAAATGTAACTTTGGTTTTACATTATTTGGAGATTAAATAAATGTGTGAAAACAAAGCTGTTGAAATCTTACTAAACAATACAAATTTATTTGTTATTTTTTACAATTATCATTAGATTTTGACTTTCTGTGGAAGTTGAGCATCATATGAGCAGCTCAGTTTATGCCTCAGGTTTAAATATTTAATCGATATAAAACTTAAGATTTTCATTTTTTATCTTGGTGAGGATGCTTGCCTCATATTTACTGATCTTTATACTGAACCTGATTGCTTGTTGACTGATGCTACTGACATTTCACATCAAGTGATAGTAATTTTGCTGGGTCCTAAATTGTGTAGTTATTGAAAAAGTGAGAAAATTGAAAATAAAATATAAAGATTTATCTTTAAAAAACTGTTGATATTCATTTAGGAGGTCAGACAAATGAAATAAGAAAAATGTAAAATAATAAGTAATATTTATATAAAAATCACCTTGCAGGTGAACTATTCAGAGTCCAAGTGTAAATAACTACATTAAATAATGAATTTTTTATTAGAGATTGTATAAAAAATAAAAATTAAATATATTTTTCTGAATCTACATACTTTTAGGAAAGTTTAAACAATTTCATCCACTAGTTTTATTTTTGGAATGAAATAGACAAGAGCAGCATTCACCTTCTAAAAAATTAGAAGCCAATGGCCAAAGGGTAAAAGATATAGTCATACATATGTCATCACTCTTCAATCCTTAAGTACCAAGTCATCTTACCAACCTTACATATTTGAGCCAAGTAACAAAAAACTTCATCTTAACCCTTTCACAATTGGAGCCCCTTTAAATGCTTCTTCTGCACAAGTCACTGTGTTACATTCAAAATATAATTAAACACCTTCAACGTATGTGAATGAAATTAATATTATAATGTATGTTATAATTCAAAGCTTTATTTTACTTAAGTTTTAAGTCTTTTCTTTCAAAATAAACCTTTAAAAAACTACTTAAAACTTCAGATGTATTGTCATGTGACCAACAAGCTATGAAAATTCTCTATCTTCAATAATACAACGGTAATTGAGTAGAGGTATATCTAGATAATCAAATGCTTACATAACCATTTGACTTGTTCATTTCAAAGTTCTCTGAATGAATACAATTGAAACAAATAATAAATTTTTTTAACCCCTGACAACTACAATACCTGAGCTTTGTTTGAGCTTTATAGCTTATATATCAGAAAGAACTCATTTAACACTATAATATAACAATGGTTATTTTGAAATTGGCACTCAGTTGTTGTCATGGATTTCATGTAATTGACTGTAGTATTGTTGGCTGCTTGATCAACTGTAGCACTTATAGTTGTTTCTTACCTAAATATGTTATAGTCAGAGATACAATTAAATTGTATTATATTTGATTTAATTATGTATTAGTTATGGTTTAAAATGCATAATTAAAAGGTTTAAACATTTTTTAAATATACATCATACTTTGCTTCTGTTCTCAAGGCTTACGATATTGAGCACTGAAAGAAAATTTTGCTGAAGGATTGCTCATATCTCCCAAAGAAACTGTAATATGCCCCGAAGGCACTGTTGATTTATGTTGAAATGAATAAGTGGTAAAGTACAAGAAAGGAAAATAAAACATTAAAAATTAACTATATGTGAAATGGAAAAAGACCTGAAATTAAGAATTTAACAAAAGGAAAATCTTTAAAGATATTCTACAAAAATTAAAAGGTATGAATTTCTTTTTCTATTTCCTAATTTTAATCATTTCATTGTATGTACGTTGACGATAATACCTAGAGTTAGTGATATGGTAGAGAAAATGAACAATAAAATATATAAACTTATCATAAAAAACTTTTGATATCCTTTTAGGAGGTTCTAGAGGTAATGCAAATAAAATACAAAAGTATAAGATGAAGAAAAGTATTTTTATATTTAAAATGAAAATCATCATACACTTGAACTATCTTAACAGTTTGAGTGCAAATAACTACTATAGATAAAAAACATTTTTATTACAAAGACATAATTAAAAATATCATTCTTTGTGTTCAAAATACTTGAACAAAATCTTATGAAGTTTTGTGAGGAATGCTCAGAGTTACCATATGTTTTTTGCACATATGTCCTTCCCCAGTCAAAGTGATACAAAATGTGTGTCCATTTATAATATTCACTTCTCTAACAATCTCTGTTAAAAGAAATTATCAATAAATATACCCGTACATTTTTCTCCTGGTCTTCAGAGGAAATATATAACAAGTGTGTTGCATTTATTTGATTAAATTGAACTCTTCTCCAAAATAAATATATTGTTGTTATACTTAGGTTTCTAATTCTTAAAACACAATCATTGAAAAATACTCACCATATTTTGGAGAGGTTTTGATTCTGAGAAACATTTCTTTATAAAGTCATCACCCTTGTTAATTCGAACAAAACCACAATTGCAAAACCACTTTGCATGTTCAGTCCATGGGTCATCCCCTGGTTCCCAGCTACAAAGTCCTCCATCACAGTAGAAACACTTTGTGTGATCTTTAATTCCTGGTTTAGTTATTAAAACAAATTTACTAAAAATAATAATTACATATAAAAAAAATTATTTACATATTGTAGTAAAGAAAGAACAAAAACTTTTCTTTTTGTGTTTATACTTTTATAAATGTTCTTTATGTTTATCCCCATACAAATACTCCCTGTGTGTGTGTGTGTGTGTCATATATTCAGGTGAACATATCTTTTAGAGATATCATGTAGGTTTGTTAAGTAACAGAAGATTCACTCAAAATATAGATTACAGAATTCACAAGTCTGTTAAGTAACAGAAGATTCACTCAAGGTATAGATTACAGAGTAGATAGGTTTGTTAAGTAACAGATTATTCACTCAAGATATAGATTACAGAATACAAAAGTCTGTTAAGTAACAGAAGATTCACTCAAGATATAGATTATGAAGTACACAAGTCTGTTAAGTAACAGAAGATTCACTCAAGATATAAATTACAGAATACACAAGTCTGTTAAGTAACAAAGATTCACTCAAGATATAGATTACAGAGTAGATAGGTCTGTTAAGTAACACAAAATTCACTCAAGATATAGATTACAGAGCATAAAGATCTGTTAAATAACAGAAGATTCAGTTAATATATAACTTACTGAGTAGATAGGTCTGTTAAGTAACAGAAGATTCACTCCAGATATAGATTACAGAGTAGATAGGTCTGTTAAGTAACAGAAGATTCACTCGGATATAAATTACAGAATACTACAAATCTTACTGACTCTGTGTAAAATGAAGTAATGAGACTGGGCAGTGTGTAAAATACAAAATGAACAATCTTTATTAGATCAAACAAACACAGAGTGTGTACTTGCAGTTTACCTACACTAGACCACTGGACTAATGACCATGTTCTACTAGACTATCCTATAAGATAGAAACCTCACATTTACCTAGAATGGCATGCACCACTCGTTATTGGTCCTTCTCATTAAAACATAGGTAGGACCATAAATATCACCTGAACAACTGTAGAAGGACACTGTTACTGACATTCTTACACAAATCTTATTAAGCAATGTTTCCACTAGTATTATGTTCAGAATAAACAAAGATGACTTGAAACAATATAAACTTTATAGTTTTCATGATCCTGTGTTATGTGAAACCTGCACATATATTCAAAATTTGAAATAAATATTATAATACTATAAGAAGGTAGATACACATGATATATTCATCTACAACACTCTCCTGTCTTCCCTATGTCAGGTATGTCCAATCTGACAAATAAATTTATTACTAATAATCTTTGCTGGCCAAGAACTATGTTAACCTTTTTGACTTCAAAAACACTCATCTCACAGATTTCACAACCTTTAAATGATACAAAAAATGTGAAATAATTCTA